TTCTCTTCAAAACTTTATAAACTGGTCATATGCTAATAGCAGCTACGCACGGACTTGGAACTGTATCGAGAAATCAAATGAGGTTTTCTTTGTAATTGAGTTAATATTAAATATAACTTTTTATAAAAAGTTTTACATTCAGAGAATTTGAATATATTGAATTTGACCATGGCGTATATCAAGATTTGAAGCAGTTTGGTCTTTTAATTTTTCCTCAACCGTCTTTTGTTTTTAAAGAAGGGTAATCTGCGTATAGCTGTCCATAATTTTGAACTAATACATTAGAGGGAATGCAGCTAGTCAACAGCATCCACCACTATCTCTTGGATTGCTCTAGTCTGAATGAATAGCGGGATATGACCGTCACCCTTATAGCATACTTGGGGTGCGTTTTGGTATAATGGTACGCGAACCATGGTTTCAGAGTTTGGGAGCGATAACCACTGGGCCCGCTGTTAACAGGAAAACTTCAGGAATGCCATGAAAATTAAATGTAAAATGTTTTAAGTATTAGTTAGCCTTGTGTAGGACTTAAGAATTAAATAAAATTCAGCAAAAATATTTTGAAAAATCCTAAGTTTATCAAAAATACTCTGGTGAAGAAAATGTTCGTTTCAAAATAATTCAGACTCTTAAGAAGACATTTTTCACTTCTTTGTTTCACTCGAATTATGGCATCATATACATTCCAAATCAAAAGTCAATAACCTCTAGATCATAATATATTTTTCGTATTTGGAAATATGTATGACTTGGTTAGATGATGACGGTAATGAACAGTAAATTGATTTGGAAAAGATGTGCCTGACGGTTATCAATAATTTACATTTTGATTATGTTACTCATCATATAAAACCAGCGCGTGTGTATTTTATGAATTATTTACCTGAGACTGTTGAAGCAAAAGCATTGTAGATTGTTCTGATGATTCTACTGTTTCTCTGGTGGTGAGAATGCTTGTACTGGACGAAGAATCTGCTGGACATTGGGTAGTTACTACAGCTGTCTCACCTTGTGAAGTCGTAGTTGCTGTCGAAACTGTTCTATCTGCTTCTGTAGTTGTCACAGCTGGAACTAAAAGAACAAAAAAATAAGTGTTGAATATTGAATTTGAAACTGAAAACCTAGAAATGTGAATTAAACATTTATAAACATCACTATTTTTTTAAAGTTTTACTTCAGGAAATGTCTGTAAAAACTAGAATATAGTATTGATTTTCTTTAAATGATATAATTACAAACATCTTTGAGATTACTTAAGCTATCATTGCATTAGACGTAGACTTTGTTTACTGTTTATTTGTTCCGGATATTCGCGCAAAGCTATACAAGGACTGTTTACGCTATTCGTCCATGATTGATAGACTAAAGGAAAGGCCGCTAGTCAACAGCACCAACCATCAACTCTTGGGATACTATAATCGAATAATAGAGTTTGACTATCACTCTTATAACGCACCCACGCCTCCAAAGTGCGGGGGCGTGATTTTTGTGATAATTTGTTTTTGTTTTCAGATATTTGCAAGGCTACTCAAGGGTTATCTACGTTAGCTGTTCTTAAATGAAACGAAAGACAAGAAGGTATGAAGCTAGTCAATAGCACCCACTGTCAACTCTTGGGACACTCATGGCTGACTGAATAATGGGATTTGACCACTTCCCTTTAAACGCACCAATGGCCCCAAAAATGTATATCGTGTTTTTTTATAGCAGCGGGCCTCGAACACTGAGCTCGAAGATTCACAGTCTAGCACACTTAACACTCGGTCACACTCCGCCCAATATTTGTTTACTAAAACAAATTCAACTTTTGTCTGTCTAGCATTGTTCAATGATTTTTGAACGTTTTGCTAACTATGCTGCACCCACTTTGAGTACTGAAACCCAATTTGTAGCGTTATATGACCAGACTTATCTCTAAAGCTTCCTCAGAGGAACATGAAATATTTGAAAGTAATAGAAAATGGTGCATAGTTTAACTAACTTCCTCCTCCTACATGAAGTAGTTTGGTTTCCATAATAGAATATATTATCAACGTTTAGTTGGTCTACCTTAAATACTGACATAATTTTACTGAATAATAATTTTATAGCTTTTATTTTATATAAATGTGTACATTTTTAAAAAACAAAATTTTGAAAAAGCCCTCGAATGGACAAAAAAAATTCAAACACTTATAGTGTTATAGGCTTTACAAAACAGATTAAATGCAAAATAATCTATTATGATCTAGATTTGTCAGCGGTAAGTTTACAGATTATAAAATTCGAGATTCTTTCCCCATGATGGACAGAGTACAGATAGTCTGTTATGTAGCTTTGTTTTAAAGCAAACAAACAAAAAACAACACGATCTAGATCAAAATGCGTTACCAGGTTTTCAGTTTCAATATGTTTAAGTCATATTACTAGGTTTTCAATTTCAATATGTTCAAGTCACATTACCAGGTTTTAAGTTTCAATATGTTTATAGTTTGTTTATTTAAAGTTAAGCACAAAGCTACACAATGGGCTATCTGTGTTCTGCCCACCACGGGTATCGAAACCCGGTTTCTAGTATTGTAAACCCAAAGACATATCGCTGAGCCACTGGGGGGGGGCTCAATATGTTTAATTCACATTACCAGGTTTTAAGTTTCAATATGTTTATAGTTTGTTTATTTAAAGTTA